TGAGTCTGTTTTGCAAACTGAAAGAGACCATTTGTGAAAGGGACATTGGATCCAACCTATAGGTAGTCCTTGAGTTATGACAGCAATTGGGACTATAATTTCTGTCCTTAAGTGATGCAGTCGTAAAGCACAATGTCACATGACTACATTGCTTAGTGACAGCAATCCCTGCAATCCCCATTGCTGTCATTAAGCAAGGATTGTGGGTTGTTAAGCAAACACCTCTTTCCCACCACCAGCACACATCAAGCCTCGCTGTGCTCACACCACCTTTCCCCAGCAACTCACGCACCCCCTTGCTTCCTCTCCCATCCGGCAGCAGCCACTTAGCTGCTTGCCAGCCAGCCTACTTGTGAGCCACCTGGGACTTGCAACTTTCTGCTGGCTTCCCTGCTGACTTTGGTTGTTGGAAGCTGGCAGGAAGTTGCAAAGAGGTGTTTGCTTAACAACCCACAATCCTTGCTTAATGACAGCAATGGGGATTGCAGGGATTGCTGTCACTAAGCAATGTAGTCATGTGACATTGTGCTTTACGACTGCATCACTTAAGGACAGAAATTATAGTCCCAATTGCTGTCATAACTCAAGGACTACCTATAGGTTGGATCCAATGTCCCTTTCACAAATGGTCTCTTTCAGTTTGCAAAACAGACTCAGATTTAACAGGAACTCTCACTGCATCAAACAAGGACTTTTTTTCACATATTCCCCTTCCCTTTACAGGGAAACTTTCTACACCATTCCAGAGAGTCATTCAATGTCCTAAATAGTTTTTCAGGGTCTGTGGAAGGAAATAGCAAAAACTATCACTACTTTCTCCAACAGAGGAAACAGCAAAGTACTCTTTGAGGGAAGTCTGGAGCCAAGCATCAGATTAGTATTGGATTTAATTACTTCTTAGTTTCTAGAAAGAAATATATTAGAAAAGGATTTGGTCATGTAATTTAATTTCTGGAAATGCACCAAAAAGCCATCCTGTATCAGGAAACTCTATTTAGGCTAATGATCCCAATGAGTAAGAAAAGAATGAGAGGTAGATTCTAAGCTCCAAACAAAATCTGATGTTAGTTCACTACTTCCTGTTAGAAAGAAAATACAGGAACAAAAAGAGATGGATATAATCTCATATACAGAGATACTTTATGCTGATAAACAAGTATACATATTTAGAAAGTTGAAGTTTTAGACAACCTCAGAATTATCTAGTGACAAAAACTGGAGTCTTTAATTTCACATATCACTAACTAAATACCTGATATCTGACCTATTAAAGAAGAGAGATTTCAAGTTGTCATCCCAACTCTACTGCTGAAGCCACTGCCATGTGCCCAGCAATGCCAGGGTCAAATTATATTGCCGAACCTTGCCCTCACCATATTTTCAGATTCTGCAAAAGCATTTAAAACATTTCCTACACTTCCCAAAATAGAAAGTGAATCTGAGAGATGGTAACAGCAACAGTTAATACTTAATCTTCAGAAACTGAAGTCCTATTTTGCAAGGTGTGGGGAAGGCATTGGGAATTTAGTTCCCCACACTTTCACTTCAGGAAAAATCAGGCAGACAGTAGGAACTGGGCCACTGAGTTCTGGAGAGGTCAGCAGTTTTTGCCTCAGAAAGCATCCTACAATGGAGCACTTTACTTTCCACTCATGGAAATCGAATGGCCATTTATTGATATTGTTTAAAACACAAACTTTAACAAATGTATTAGAGACACTGTTCAGATGCAGACTAAATCAGTCTGGGCTAGAAATCTCACTCTTTAATTTAGCCTTCCACGACCATGTGCCATTCATACGTGTTGCAAATTCAAGTCAAAATTCTTGGAATTACAATATAATCCTAGCATATTTACAGGAAGTCAGGTTGAGGAAAGTGTTTTTTCTTATTTTAGCTAGGGTCCAGACTATAGTAAATCTACTTCATCTAGTGTAATACAAGAATGTAAGTTTCATTCAGGCATTCTAAATCTTACCAACACAACTAGGGAAAGAAGAGAAGCACAACTGTTAGCTCTGCTTTCTCAACACCCTCTTTATATTCCAAGATAAATTTCTGAAGCAGAGAGCCTTTTGTATTCATGAAAATTTCCCACAAATATTAAGAATCCTAAAAAAATCAATTTCACAAAGGTAGCCCCTCATAGTGGTCAACAAGGGCAGTGGCACTCGGACTGAGATAGTGCTCTGACTATTCTCATACATGTATATAAAGTTTAGAATGCTCACAAAGGGGTTAGGAAAATGTTTCACTGTTGGTTATCAGCTGCACATTTAAGAAATTGCATGTATATCCCAAATTTGCAAACCTATAAGACAAGTAAAAATTCATCCAGTCACATTTAAATGATAAAGGCCTAACTAAGTTATGTAAAAACTAATTCTCCAAAGATAAATTATAGGATTTTAGGCAAACAAATCACATCTGCAGAGCTATTTTCGATAACTGCTTCATAAACAATAGTATTTGTGATCTTCACAAAGACAGATTAATAGAAGTTTTTCTTTCAGTGATTATCACAGTATCAAATGCGTCTACTATTATGATGATGGCACCAAGGAGGGAAAAAACCTTTATGTAGGAATACAGATGGCATAATCAAGTACAAATAAAGATGGCATAATCAAGGGGGACGCGGTGGCGCAGCGGCTTAATGACGCTGAAAGTTGCCGGCCAGAAATGG